TCCTTCAATTGGAGAAAACTCCCCACGCGCCCCGCGGGAGCGGTAAAAAGGAGGTGCGACAGTTGGTTGAGGCTTTAAATGCTAAACTAGATAATGTTATGAATAATAGTCAGGAGCAGTGTGCATTGGAGACAGAAATTTGAGGTACCAATAGAGAGGTCCATAGTAGAACACCAACAATCAATCAAACTAGAATTTGAGGATGCCGATATTGTATAAGAGATACTATAGTCAACCAAGGACATTGAGGATACATATTTAGTTGACTCTAGTGTCATTGGTGTTGAGGATGTTGATAGTCCCAAAGTTCATGTAGTTGAGCACATTGGTCCACACTCCAATCATTTTTTTCACATTGTATTTGGATGATAATATAGATATAGAGTCATCCGAGCCACTTGAGGAGTCAAGGAATGAGGAACAAGGTGTCTATATTTTGGAATTCTTCTTGCAAGAAAGTCAGGATGACACACCTCATCTAAAGGCCAAGAAGTGCGGAATACTACATAATTTTCTTGGGCTAGTTAGATTCGTTCCACCACCGCAGGAGCATAATCATAAGCTTGAAGCAAAATTTGGGGCTCAATTCATAAGCTCGAGATGGAGGCAAAAAGTGATTCGCGTCGTGCCATGATATTAAATCAAGCGTTTGTTGGGAGGCAATTCAACTTTACTGCTTTCTATTATTTCTTCTATTGTGTTATTTATGACTTTGTAGGAGCAGGCGTATGGGAAGAAAAACCTTTGGAAGGATGCAATAACAAGCCAGATGGTTGGAACTAAGTGTGGGGTACCCACACAAGGATTATGCCCGCGAGAAGTCTGAGTATCCCATGAGCTGCTAATGCTTCGGCCTTTGGCCTATCATGGAATTTTTTTGCCCTATTATTATTTATGGTGTGCATTGGGGACAATGCATAATTTTAAGTGTGGGGTAGGAAGATTGTCTGGATAATTTTTTGCTCTTTTAGTTTGCTAATTTATTTGAAAAAAAGAAGAAGTGAAAATAGAAAAATAATTCGATAGAAATAATCCCCCTTGATTTTTCTTATGGCCATGATTCTTTTTCAAGGTATGACTCTTTGAACCGGGTAATAATTTTTTTTTTAGATAGAATTTTCATGAAAGTTTTGTACTTTTCCCGACAATGGATCTATTAGACAGTTTTCTTGAGGGAGTAAAGTCTAAAGAAAAAATACAAAAAGATTTTCCTTTTATTTTTAGAATTGATGATGGAATGAGAAGAACTTGAGTATCTGTGTTTTTTGACATGTTTTATGTCGGGACTTAGAGTTGTAATATTTGAATTGATTATTTTCTTCATGTTCTATGTGCCCACATGCCTTGAGAATATATGTGACTTTTCTTTGATGCTTAAGTTCATTTGTTGACTCATGTGATTACTTTTCTTATGTTGAGTTAATATGATGACTATGCTTAGTTGTTTAACTTGAGTGTCGGGTCTGAACTGTCCGGAGTAAATTATGTGCATTGTGTGATGTGAGGCTCGATTACATTCTATGTTAACCTGTGTTAGTCTAGAACTTGCCCCAAGTGTTAGTCGAAGTGAAATAAATAAGCTTTGTGAATCTAGGAGATGATATAGGTGTTTCTTTGATTGTCCATTGAGATAATATGCCACCATAAATAAAATTAATCCTTAGATAGCCTATTTGAGCCTATAAACCTTTTCTTTGACACCCACATTACAAGTTGATTCCCTTTTTTGTTCTTAATTAGATCTTTTGAACTTTTACCTCCGAAAGCACTTAAGTCGCTAGAAGAGTAAGGTGAGAGTTGAGGTAGCTTTTGAGTGGAACCACAGAAAGATCAAAAAGTGCACGTATGTTTTGAAAGATCATTAGCCGGACAACCCAAGTATGGAGTGTGTTGGGGAAAAAATCAAAGAAAATACAAAAAAAAAAAAAAAAAAGAAAATACACCCCCTATTTCTCTTAATCCGAGCTAGTGAATGCATAGTTGTGCTTAAAGAAGAAGGGCCAAATTGTATATGGTTTCGTGGCATTGCTTGAATTGGTCATGAAGAGTATGTATTTGAATGTTAAGTGAAGTATATTAAAGTGCTTAGGAGGGTTAGTCACTATAACCCAAATATATCCAACTCATTCCTTAGCCTATGTTACAACCTAAAAAGACCTAATTGATCCTAGACTTCGCAAGCTTAGATTAATAGAGACATACACTACGAGCAAACCTATGGTACGACCTCGGGATGCACATAAATTTCTTTATGAGAGTGAGTGAATTCTATCAATTTGTAAGTTCGTGAATTATACTCGAATGCATATTTGAGTGCGTGGACTAATTTCTCTATTTGGTTTGTGGTGATGGTGCATGATTACAAAAGATTGGTTAAGTCCGAGCATTTTGAGTTGACACAAGAAGTGAGTCATAGTAGGGTATGTATTGGAGTCATCTCTTGAGGTTAGGATATTAGAAGAAGTCGCACAAATATTTTAAATAGTCTTGGCATGGGTCTACTTTTGAAGAAAGATGTCAATCGTTCTTATGTTGAGTTCTAAGTGTTGGTATAAGCTATTGTCATTGATATGATGCTTGAGTCGATTTTGAAAATGTGTTTCTTTCCATTGTGCTTAATTTTGAAAGTTTCTCGAGGACGAGCAAGAGCTTAAGTGTGGGGTATTGATAAACGACCAAAAATGCATATTTTTTAGTATACCTTCATCTCATAACGTGTGTGGTCACGGGCGATTATATGAGTTTTTGTATTGAATTATGCTCATTACGTGCATTCTTATGTGTAGGAGCAATTTCGACGAAAGATGAGCAAAAAAAGTTGATTTGGGACCAAAAGGCAAGAGAAGTACTTCGCTTGTTCACTCTAGCGTGCACACGAGAGAGTGAACGAGCTAGCTGAGGAAAAGCTTGAGAAAAAAACATTGAAGTATGGAAAAAAGACATGGAAGGAAAAGAAAAAGAGAATAACTTTTCTCGTTCACTCTCGCGTGTGCACGAGAGAGTGAACGAGCTAACCTAAAAAAGGCTGTTTCGAGGTGGGCTTGTATTATTTTTGCCCCATCTAACCCTATCCCACATAAATAGTCCTTAAACTCACTTTTGAAGGGGGGGGGGGGGAGACATTTTTTGGAGAGAGACATTTAAGACGGATAGAGAGATGGACAAGGAGACGTTTTTGGAGAGGGATTCGACCCAAGGAGGCAAGAATACGCTAGGAGCAAGGCGGAGAATTCTTCTACGAGTTTTTTCACTTTCTTCTTCCTATTTTCATTATTGGTTATGTATTCTAGTATTGTAATTTTGCATACTATTATGAATAGCTAATTTGTTATTTAGGGCTTTGATGGAATCTTTTGTAAGTTAAATTCTTGTGACGTTTTGATATAATTGAGCCATTGAATTTCTCTACTTGTTCAAATACGTATTTATTGTTGTTGATTGAATGTTCATCAATTGTTTATGCCTATTTAGTATGTATATTGCTCGAGAAAGAGTACACATTTAGGTAGTTGTTGAACAACACCACTCCTAACGTATGTGAGAGATCTATACAGAGTTTAGAGGCGAGATTAGAGATAACAAAACTTTGGTGCGATCGTAGTGAACGTGAATTAGTGCCAGCTAGCGTAGTCCGAGAGAATACATCTAATAAATTGTAGTAGTTGCTTGAGAGAGAGCCGACACCCAAAATACTCACGATCGGTAGAAAATACTTAGGCGAAATTATAGATGACGCAGCGGGAAGGATTCCGACAATTGGGAAAATCATAACCCTAGACCTCCTTAATTTAGTCTCCAGCCCTTAATATCTTTAGTTGTTAATTTACTACTTTAATTTGTTAGTTAATTAGTTAAACATAAGAATCTTAATATTTCTAACTTAGGAATTGCTCGAGATTGTCTTCTTAGTGATAGCGAACAGTTGTAGCTAAATCATAATTCTCTGTGGGATTCGACTCCGGACTTTAGACCGAATTATATTTACAGCGAACGCTTATCCTTGTTAGGACTAGAGCTGGACGTGATCAATATCCACAATATCATTTCGTATCTTATCAAAGCTCAGATTATTTTGTTTGGTGCTACAATGGTTATCTTATGTAGTACCATATCAATAAGTCGGTTCTCCGATTTCCGTATTTATTCAGATATGGAAAATAGAGTAAAATTGTCCTTAATTTTCACAGAGAGAGAAATTGAAAGATAGAAAACTTATTAGTTGTACTTTCAGCAAAACGAAATATTTTGTGAATTTCTAAATTTGACGTTTCTCAAGAAAAAAAATTACACTTTTTTTTTGGTTCTTTCTCTCGTTGTTTAAAAAAAGAAGTCAATTGCCCTTATTTTGAAATTGGTTCCGGACATACTCTTATTACTAGTAGATTGGTTCAGAATTGCTTATATATTTGAATTTATCCTCCATTTGAATTTAGTCCCAAATATACTCTTATCATGAGTGGACTAGCTCATATATTTGCCGCTCAAAATTAACAACTAATGCTTATAAAAGAATAAATCAATATCCATTGTCTATACGAATTTGGTACAATACTAACTGTTTCTAATCTTCAAGAATTAATGCATCTTTGGTACAAAACAATAAAAGAATCATTACAATAGAGATTATAAATAAAAGAATATACGCTATAATCCTTTTTCAGGGTCTCAGCTGTTATATAGCACAATCTGCAGGAAATCCTTGTGGGAATCTCTTGGAATCATTGCAATAATTATAAACCATGTAATTCTTCTGCACCCATTTCAGCCTTTCTTGACTTGTATTATCCAACTCTTCATTTAACCATGAATTGCTGTTGGCTGCAGAGGTTAAAGTTGCAGATTTGAAGTTTCTATAGGAAGCACTAAAGGGTGCTTTACTCCAATCAGTTTTAATAAGTCCACCTCTTGTAGCCCAATCATCTGCATTCCATAGACTTGAGTATATTCTCATTGGTTGGTTTTTAGGATATGATACTCCAATTGATTCTGAATTTTTGTATTCTCTAATTGGTGTTCCATCCACATAAAATCTGTTCAACCAAAAAAAACAAGAAAATCCCAAGTCAAAATTTATTTCCAAGAAAGTCAAAGATTTTGAAAAAAAAAATCTGTTTGTTTGGATGTTCGTTACAAATCGTTTCATAATGTATCATTTTGTATTATATTATATTGTACTGTATTGTTTTGATAGATACAATATTTAGGTAGATTGTATCGTTTGTTGTCGTTTCATAATATCATATACTAACAATATGAAGAATAAACTTGCAATAATACAAAAAAAAAAGTTGGATAGAAAATAAATTATTATATAAAAAAGTGCGGTAAAAAATAAAGTATGATTATTTAATAATAAGGAATGACGAAATGAAAAAAATAAGGTAACAATGCAATCATAACAAATCAGTCATTACATAGATTATTGCTTTTCGTCGCTATGTACCGATAGATTTAATAATATGATACAATAAAATTTAAGTAACAATCAAAACAAATATTATATTACTTACATGATGCGATGTGGATTCCAAAGGATGGAATAGGTATGGAAATCAGCAGTAGGGTCAAACCAAAGATAGAATTGTTGCTCTCTGTTGCCTTTGCCTTGGCTAAATACATTAGTATGCAAAGTATAAGGATCACCACTTAAATTTCCCAAGAATTCAAAATCTATCTCATCATGTGTTGGTCCTTGTGACGACAACTGCAATAAATTCAAAAAAATATCAATTCCATTTCAGCTCAATAAACATATAATGTAGGGGAATCTTGGGATAACTGGTAAAGTTGTTGTCATGTGACCAGGAGATCACTAGTTCGAGTAGTGGAAACAGCCTCTTGCAGAAATGTAGGGTAAGACTGCGTACAATAGACCCTTGTGATCCCGCCCTTCCTCGGACTCCGCGTATAGCGGGAGCTTAGTGCACCGGGCTATTTTTTTTTTAAAACATATAATCTAGCTAGCTAAAAAATGATTTAGACAAAAAAATAAGGAAAAAAACTTACATAGTAAGCAGTGACAGTGCCAGCAGAGTTACCAGGGACAAGTTTGAGCTGCATGTCTATTTTACCAAAGAGATATTCATTCTTGGATTGAAAACCTGAGCCTGAGATTTTGTCAAGTGAGAGAGTTAGAAGCTCTCCATTATTTAGCATCTTTGCTCTGCCTTCACCCCATGTTATTTCAAAATTGTCATCAAAAGTGCCCGCAATTGCAACAGCAAAAGCACTAACTATAAGAGCTAGTACTAATTTAGAAGTAAAAGAAGACATCTTTAATTCCTAAGATTTCAAGATTATTCAAGTTTGTTTGGATGATTTAGAGTTGGATTACTAGGT